TTAAAAATGTTGATATCCTCTGGCCCAGTAATTCCATGCCTGGGAGTCTATCCTAAGGAATTAATCAAAAGTTCAAAACAAAAAAAAGAAGTGTTAAGAACAAAAGAAGGGAAACCATGTAAAAGGTTAAAAATAGGAAAATGAGAAAGTATTCAATATACTCATTAACGGCACATTATTTAGGGGTTAAAATATAGGTTTATGATGATAAATAGAGATAGAGGAAATTCTTACATTTTTAAGTTTTTAAAACGTGTGTAAATATATATATATATATATAAAGAATCATCTCAACTGTAAAATGGTTAGAAAAGGAGGAGAAGGAAATACATCCAATTGCTAACAGAAGTCTCTGAGTGATGGGATTATTTCTTACTACCTGCTTTTTTGCATTTTCCATTTTTTCATTACAAAAAGTATGAATTGAGGAAAAGCAACTTGGACTTTGGGGCTGAGAACAAACTTTATCCAATGACTCTGAAGTTATCTGCTTTGCCCAAGTATTTCTGCAGAGTCACCAAATACATTCAAGACTAGAAAAACAGTACCTCAAAGTCAAATGAGGTGAGTGCCAACAGAGGCCAAGGAGAAAAGTAACAGGAGATCAATAGGGAAAAGACGGAGAGAAACACTTGCTAGCAGAAAACAAACCCACAAACAAAAGCAAAACTGGAGCCTTTCCAATCAGTTCCATCTTTCGGGCTCTGAAGACAATTGAATGGGAACAGGGCTGGCCTCCGATAACCAGGCAGATCCGCAGACCCCGTTTCTTCACACTGCATGTGGGACGGGCCACAGAGTTCTCTGAAGCTTCTGGACTTAGAATCCCGGGAGAGCATGGCATAGGCTGTGTCCTTGGCACGTCCTTGGTCTTCGTCCATGCGCTGTGGACATCTCCAGTGGACTGAGCGTTGCTCAGTTTTGTAGGAAAAATATGAATAAAAACAGAGCTCCCAAGCTCATGAACATTTTGCAGCTTGATCTTGTCTAGAAATCTAAGTCATCTTGGCCAAAGCCGTCTGCCCTGCCCACTGCCTTGGTGGGGGCAGGATTTCCGAGTGTCTGGTCCTCTTGAGGGTCACAGCCTTCACTGGCCCCCTGCTCTGGAGACCTTGTGTCTGAAGGGGCCTCTTCTTGCTCAGAAGTGGAACTTTCTGGATACATCCTGGTGGCCTTCCTCTCTGCATGAGGGGCCCCCACGGACTTGGCGTCAGGGCTCCTTGTGTCTCCACATACATGGCCGTCTTCTGAGTCTTTCTGCCAGCTGTGGCCCTGAGAGGATGCTCTGGAGGAGGCAGGGCCTGTCTGGGAGGCTGGCTTTTGGTGAGGAGTGTCTCCACCTGGGGAAGGGGGTGGAGTGGGCCCGTCCTCGGGGACTGGGCTGTTGCTTTCAGAAGCCCCCACAGACTGGCCATCTCCTAGACTGACCTGAGGGCTCCCCTTTGTCTCACCTTGAGTTTCTCCTTCCGACTCTGGCTGGGCCTCCCCTTCAGCCTCCAGGGCCTCTACACCTTCTGACTCTGGCTGGGCCTCC